CAGTTACAGCTTTTGTTGCACTGTTTTCCAATTGTCTAGCCATTACAATATCTTATGTCCTGCTCTTATGGTCCTCTGTAAATGAAATAAAATATAAAGGCTATAGCAACTGTAATAATATTGAACGACTAATATTATTTGTTATGCGCGTGTTGTTAACATAAGTGGAGTTCCTGCGAAATGTTTGCGTTATACGAACACTGCTATTTCGCTATTTTCCGTTGATGCCTGAGAGCTGATATACTGCAGACAACATTATTATGTTTTTCCCGCGTTTAACGTCATTCGCTTGTTTTATTCCAATAACTTAAAAGGATTCTATTAAAAATACTCCAGTTGTAAATTACTTGCAACATCGTCTAACCTATGCCGACCTCGTGATACAAACGAAACGAATTTTTATTAAATTTGATTTCCTATCAACTTTAATAAAGAAGATAATCACGGGAGTAAATTTTTTTCAAGATGAAATTAGCATGATTGGTCGAGATTGTGGATTTTACTATTTTATACCATGATGGTGACAAACAAGCATACGGTCTATCTGATGGTAATCGGTTACCATGGCCTATAGACGCCTGAAACACCAGGGGTGTCACGTGCGCGTTTCAAACCCCTACGAAATATATATAATTACACTTGCGACCCGCCCTAGTTTCACTCGGGTGCAATTACTGCAGGGATATCATTTTTTTTTAATGGAATACAGTATGTATTTTCCCACTGGTATTCTATAGGTAAAGTAATTGAGAGAATCGGTTTAGTTTTCTAACAATACAATCAACAGAATCAAATCTTACCTCTTTATATTATGTTTAGATTTCAATCACACTATCATGCAGAATGCACAATATACGCCGAATATTTGCATTTTTAAGTGGGTCTGCATTGAGATACGCATATGTCGTTGAGAGTAATTCATAAGGTAAAATGAATAAATGTACTGGTACATATTACTTGGCACAATACAGGTTAATATAAAACGTGATATTCTTATCATACAATAAACAAAACTAATATTAAGAATGGCAAACGTAATGAAACGAGAAATATGTGTGAATAAGTATAACATCGTATACATGGCACAATAATTGTGGACACGCGTCGCGTCCGGACAATATATGGGCGCATTACTCGAGAACGTGTCCTCCCGGCTTAATCTAGCTCTAAAAGTGCGTCACCCTTGTCCATCCACATTTGTTCCACATCCGCACCCTCTCCCTTCGTAATCCACATGAAAATGTCTTCTTAGCTTACGACTTTTGTCAATGTTCAAGCTCAAGTGCGGACTAAACTGTTCATTGTACTTGCCAAGATTTTTTTTTACTAGGTTTGTCACAATTTTTATAATGAAGCAATGAATTGAATAATTAAGTTTGTATTGTTCCTTTACGCAAATGTGCTAAGAGAATAACTTTCTACTAACGTTAGTCAATAAACTGATTAATGTAGTAAGATTGGTCTTTCCCAATTTTGCTATAAAATCAGAGACTGACTTGTACATGTGAATATATTTGTAACAATGGCATAACGAAATAAATAAACAATGAATTTCTAAAAGCTTAAAATTCTCATATAAAAAGATGAGCTTGGAACAAACTTTTTATAGTATATATATATATATATATATATGTAACGTAGTCGAATACATACAATAATAATATTTCAATCATAACCAAAGTTTACCTAATAAAGTAATAATGTAAATATTTATTAACTACTATGTTACAACTACCGGATTCAAACGTTTCAAAATTGAGTGATCGTCTCCGATTTAGATTAAATATAATTAAGCAACAGCGAGCTATGACGCTCTAGCAAACCCTTCGCATTCTAAGTCCAAACAGTAATTCAAGGGTCGCTTTCTGCCGCAAGATTAAAAGTAATTTAAATGTTGAATTTCTTTCCGTCTATTAAATCACTTAAGGTGGACACATAGCCTGCGGCAATTTGTTTAGCAATTCCATTTGGCACCGCGACAGGGCGGCCAGTCCTTTAATTAAAGCTGGTATTATGTTAGCTTGATGCGGAGTTAATGTGCGTCCGTCGTAATGCCTCGTCCTTTACTGATTCTACGGTGATTCTGTTTTAAAAACATATTGTCACATGCTAGATGTAAGCAGTTATACAGTATTCAACAGCCAGTTCATTCTTTATGTTGACATACATATTGAGAGACATTTAATCAGTTATAAACTCAATTAAAAAAGACATTATTTTTAATAGTCGTTTGATAATAGACATCCACATCTGATACGCAGATTAATACTTTTTATTCGATTTGTCGGCAGATTCAGGTAGTAGTTATTTAGCATATTACTAATAATAGTGATTACTTTATCACTTAGAATTTTTTAGAAAGGCAAACAATCACTAGTCACTCCATGTGACCACCGTAAGTGGTAAATTTGGTCCAGACATCACAGATCAAACTGACCGCTTTGCATGTACCCAGCCAACTCAAACAAATGTAGATAAGACAAACAATCCACAATCAGTGCATCAAACGTTCGGATAAATTATTTTTCTTGCATTGAATATGCATGTTTAGGAAATATTTAGTTAATACTGTTATTTACATTTAGCTTATTCTTTAAAATTTGTAAGTAGTTGTTACTGCACTTCTTTTGTTTGGAAATATTATTTATTATAAGTAGGTGATATTAGGCGACGTGGCAAGCAACTTTCGTATTAATTCGGCAATATAAAATTAATGTACGCACAAGTGTGTCCGGTATATATGATAACAGTATATTGCTATTCCCATTAAGAGAATGGCATTCCTAATATCTAATTCGTAAATTAAAATTAAACGTAACTAATTATGTATAATAGACTATGCATCTTAAGTTAATATAAAACTAATGGTACAATTATGGTAAATTTATTCGAACCCATTGTCATCAAATTTTAATATTTTCATAACTGAAGCTTTAACTAACAGTTAATTTACAGACAAAAGGTTTATGTTAACAGCAATCGTCACGTCCTGCTAACGAGTTTCCTTAGTTAACAGTTACGTGAAAAAATTCGCTCCCTCCTCACCCTGCCTGTACAAGCTTTCATTTAAATAATCATGTAATGAATTCGGCTTTAAATTGTACACAACGTTGTTGTAACGCTTTCAGTCGTGTTTAATTACTTTAATCATGTGTAAAGCATAATGTACATTAATACCTGATTTGAATGCTTGTTGTTTAATTTTAATCAGTATATGTTTTTTTGCTAAGTATTACTTTGAATCTTTGTATCATCTAACTTATTGTTCGTCTATAAAAACAATGCGGCTTGTTATTGTTACTAAAGTAAACATTAAGCGAACAATTTCACGGGTATTTGGTAGCTGGTTAATACAAAAAAGTATCTCTTTTCATGAAGTGTGAGCCACACCACTTGTGTTCCCCGAATCAGCGACTGGCTACGATCTCGAGATAATAATTGCCAGTTCACGTCGTTCCTTGGAATCCTATTGCGCAAACCGCTTTGTCGGCTGACATCAATACCTACTACCTTTTGTCTCGTGCCACATCCATTGTTCATTTTAGGCAGGCCGGCCTTGATATCGCTTTATAATTCAACGAAATTGACATGCAAGTAATGTGAACGTGAGTGAAACAACAAACAAGTGAGATGAAATTAAGAAATGGCTAAACGAGAGGAATCCTCTGCAATTACGATGAACGTCATCGTTAGTTATATATACTTTTGCAGTAATTTTGACAAACATTGTAAAGATTTCCTCCACTGCAAATTATTAAAAAAAAAATACTCAAAATAACTTTAGTAAGATATAAATAACTTTTTATTAATGTTAATAATCAGCTTCGTTCCCTCCATTAATATAACACTAAACTACCAACTACAACTAAAGTAATTCACCTTATATTTGGTGTTAATTCATCATGTAGTAACAAACTTTTATGTGCAGGTTTATCATGAGCCACCCCAAAGCAACTAGCCCCATCTAAAGCAACTGTCACAGAATTTGGTCCACCGAAAGTCAGGTATGTCGATAGAAACAGCAATTTAGTGGCGAAACAGTCGGATTCGAACACAACTATTTTTTGGTGTAAAAAATATTTCCGTACGATTTTACGGCACCAATTTGAGCAGCGACAAAATTTGGGAACCACATTTAGCCACCGCCCAATATGGAGTGCATACGCTGTTCTAGCGTCGCTTGTTATGGATGAAAATAAAAAAAATACCCGATGTTACAAACAAATCGATGCTGAAACGTGCATCCCACGCACATTCCGTGCATTCATATTTTTTTTTATCGCGAACATTCGGCTTGGTTAGGTAATTGGGTCAATGTTGAATGCATATTGAATAGAGAAGTCTACACCCTACTACAGCAATCTTTAAGGGTAGGTATTGTACACAATATTAATCTTCACAATATTCGACATATATTCTAGTATATCTAATAGAATACTCTGAGGCGAAGAATGGACTTTATGCCACGTGAACAGTGAAGAGTGAAGCAAGTGAATTCAATTTTAAAAACTATATTGTGTGGATGTTTCCTGTAATGTGCGGAAAGTTTAGGTTAAACGTAATGATTATATATTTTATTATATTTAAACAAACTTATTGTTAGTACAGTAGTACTAATCGTCCAATTAAACAACTTTCTAATGGAACAGGGTGTATTAAGGTTTCTTAAGGGTCGGAAACGCGCACGTGACAACCCGGTGTTTCAGGTGTCCATAGGCTACGGTAAGCGTTTACCATTAGATCGGCGTATGTTTGTTTGTCACTAACATGGTATAAAAAAAGAGCTACTATTATAAGATTTAAAATAATATTTATGTTTCGATCAATATATTCAATTCTATAGGAAAATGTCATGTGTCTCAGTAAATTTTCAGGTAGAGTTGGTTCTGACTAATCTTGTTTAGTTCGTCTGTTTTTGTTTCACTGCTACACTGTTCTATTACGTGGTATTGAGTCCATATCTCCGTCAGATTTGGACATCTATCACGCCCTGGACTCACCGTACATCTTTCCCTCGTCCGATAGAATGATTTTGCGGCGTCCACATGGTGGATATATTGCCAATGCCTCTTGGAAGCTTTGTTCGATATCCGGACTCCATACACCTTCTGCATCTGCCGCCGACAAGTCCTGTAATATATATTCAGATGTTATACACAAAGGATTGATTCATTGCAGAGGTTGTTATGATGTAGAGATAGAAATTAATTTAATTAATAAATTTAAACAATTATTTGTAAAGTTACACAAGTTTGGAAATCTTAATATACTTCTCGTTTGAAAGACAACGGGGGCCCTTTTCACCATATAAGCACTTTCTGAACACTAAATACTATAAATTACTTCAAACTTAAATTACTTCTGCTAACTTTTATCGTCATAAATTAACATTCTTATACCATTCATATTATGGCTCTGTTAATCGTGACAACGCCAGTATTTTTGTATAATAACTAAAAATTATAAGGAAATGCCTTGATATTAGAATTTGTCTTTGGGAGTTCTTTGTATCAGGTTTATTAATAAATATAATACATACTGTTATAAGGAAACTTTATAAAAATTAAGACGTAAAATAATATTATAAAATCATAATGATAATAGACGTTTGTTAAAAAATAATTGCTATAAACATTTGAACGGATAAATGATGTTTCTTGGATGGTTAAACAATGTTACTGAATTTATTTTTATTATATCCCATACAGCATTTTAAGTTAATTTTATATGTATTGTTAAAAGTAGTTTCAAAGTACATCAATATGATTACGCAATGTAAATTTATTTAACAAGATAGACAATATAAATAACTCAATGTACAATAAATTGTGTAAAGCTAGTATTTTTTCAAGGACTATAAAATCAAAATTAATTTGGTAGGCTTATCAAGTCTTTGCATTTGAACATAAAACAGATGTATTAACATTAACAAATGTATGGCTGTTCGCTTACAGTTTCAGATTGAAGGCGAAGAGTGCGTCACTATAATTAATAGACACGGTTCTATTCTCAAAAGAAAATAAAAATAACCGCCCTCGGCATGGTCCAGCGACGGACGGACGAAAACATCGTGAATCACAATTCCTCGAAATGCTTCAAGCGTGTTTCTGGTTTGGTTAAACCACTTGCAGTCAATATTTGTCCATTATTTCTTGTTATTATTACTAATTCTTGTATTGTTAGCTACTACATTCACTACCATTTATAATGGAGTGTAATTTTGGTGTAGTCATTATTATATTATGTACATAGTGATGTAAACATTGCTTGTAATACAGTAATATAAGAAGTGTAAGAGCAAGTTGATATTTTTTACACATTGGATATTAAATTGACGGTACACCTGATAGGAAGTCACAGCCGTCTCTATTTTTATAAATAGCACGAAGGACATCACATCGTCATGTAGCGATTCCTGAGAACTAAGGTGTCATGTCTATGTACCTTGTAATTTCACTGTCATATCTCGCTCTATAAACCGAAGTATACCTTACGTAGAAAGCTGCTTAGGGAAGCATCAGGCGAGAAAGAAAAGCCAACGTAGACGACTTCATACTAAGTATATATTGGTAGAAGTTGAAAGAGTCTCAGTAGAAAATACTATTAAAATTTTAGTTCACTCTGGAAACCTTTTAAGATCCCTGAATATTGATAATGCATATTAGTTTAAAGTGATGATAATAAAGATATTTCCACATTGCGTCTTCTATAATAAACGCTGGTAACAAGATTGCATATTACTTAATGGATTTATATTATTTTGTTTAATTCCGCTACCATTTGCATATGTGAGACCACATATATCCCAATACCTGAGCATCGCTACTGGAAGCATTACAAGCTTGTCTATTGGTGATCAATTTATTGGATTTCCGTAAAATAACACCTACTTTCACAAAAAAAAACTTGCTTTTCTATATAGCATAGGGGACAAACGAGCTTGCGGCTCACCTGGTAGTAAGTGATTACCGCCGCCCATGAGCACCCTCAATACCAGGGTATTGCAAGTGCGTTGCCCGTCTTTTAAGAAGAAATAAGCTCTTTTCTTAACGGTTAAATATATCATCCATTTGATTAGGATGGTATTTTAATTGCTGGAGTACGATAGTTTAGGTCAATACCAATAGATGCATATTTACCTTTTCGTCGTCACTGGCATCACCAACGTCGAGGTGCTTGGCGTCGGCGCCGCCCGAGCCGTTGGTGTCGGGCGCGCCGGCCGCCGTGCTCCACGGGGACGCAATGGTGCCGGCTGCGAGCGCGCCGCTCGCTGTAACAAACGACATATTATGACTTATTGCTTATAATTACTTATTTTTACATATACTAATACATATTACGTATTAACTTTCTACATAGACTATAAAAAGTCTTGTACTATACTATACGGATTCATAGAAAAATATTATATAGTTGACCGTGACAACTTCGTCTGCACCACACTTGACATTTATCATTATATTTCGCTCAATTTACATAAAATATTTTTAAATTATTGCCTATTCTGATGAATAAGTTATATGACTGTAAAGTTTCATCAAAATCCGTTTACATTATCTATTAGTTTATTATAATTTAAATAAATAAAGTTGTCATCACAATCTAATTATCCCCTGTTAGGCATATAGCCTATTCAATGTTTTACATTATTAATTTTGTTCTCTATAGGGTTTCCTTCAGTTACCACGCTCGACAGACGAGATGCTGACTGTAAATGTGAGATGGGCTATGAAAACCATCATAAAAATATCAAATAGCAGTGCTGTGCCCGCACCGGGAATTCAATGCTGCCGTGGAAATTATAATATCGAACTTACGCACGGTTCATACATTTTTTACAAACTAAAACATCAACGTAGTCCAATTTACATCCTCATATTTTTTAAGATGGTTGAAAATTAAGTAACAATATATTAAATGTATGTATAATAATATTATAAATTCCTTGTTGCCTTTTCACGAGTAAACAGCTGAACGGATCTAAATTAGATTTATTGTTAAGATAAGTTGCATCACGAGGACGTAGGTTATCCTTTATATAAAAAATTAGACAGTAAAGGTTAGTATTTCAACGTCTCTTTGAGAAGAAGATTCGATGTTGCTTGAAAAGCGTTTCGCACCTCCAAATCTCTGAAACCGTTGGACTGATTTTGGTGAGAGTTGAAGTCGGAGATAGCGAATGTTATAAGGGGTAAGACTATTTTTATTTTAGAATGTTTATGTACTTTGATTCCACGCGGACGAAGTGCGGGTAACAGCTAGTTATTTAATAGTTATTGTACAACGCGGTACAACAAGGTAACAGTACACAATCCGACTCTCATTGTACTGACGTCAGGCGGTTTGTTTGTTTACCATGTCGGATGCCCGCTTGTAAACTTCCAATCGCATCGTGCCTGTTACGATACATTAATACGTCAATGTAAGCAAAGCTGGGATTTCGTTCTGCAGTGAATTGTTTTCATGTTTGCTATCGTTTATATTGCGGCTGGTAACAATTTCTAGAATGGCTCTTAACCTTCTTACTCCTACAACCTACTAAAACTACTATTGTACATACAAACACTGTAAAAGAAAGACTGCATGAAGTACTAGATTTCGTTAATGTGTGAAAGTTTATATTAGATTCACATTGTATGGATATTGGAATAAATTGTATCAGACGCAACATTCTACGCAATGAAAAATATCAGGCGAAAGAAGTCGCGCATATAGCTTAGTTTGTTATAAATAGTCTTAAATTGTATTTTAAAAATTCAATCTGAGGCGAAAAATTTAAACAAACATTTTCTTATCACAAAATAAGCTTTGTTTCCCCGAGATCCGAGAGGCGAGGTCGTAGGCATTCCGGAAATTTTCATATTTACTGTTAGAAATATGCAGGTACGAAACGTTTACAATATAAATATAATATCAAAACGGAGAATTTCTTTATGAAGATCGGATCTAGAGTGGAGAGAGTAAAGTATGCAGCCACCCGTCTTCGAGACGCGACTTGCTTGCTACTTTATAAAATCCTATTTCTTCCACGCCTCGCGTTTTCAAGAAAAATATCTATATCTTCAAAGGTGTTCAAATACAAACTGGTTTCGCAATACATTGTTGGTTATAACAATTAAAAATAAGGAGAAGCCAAATAAGCTCATAAAATATACATTTAAATACTTAGCAGTTACCGATAAGAACTATAAAATGTTAGGAATTTGCCCGTTCCAAGTTCTTAAATAGCTAATGGCATTCATAACAGATAAAAAAGATAATTTAACAAAATTAAGACAGGTATATTATAACTAAAAATAGGAAACGTAATTTTCGCGCCATTTTACTTCATAATTGGTGTGAGTACGATCATTGTCTTTGATCACCGTATTCTTCTGTACCTACTTATATAGATGCAATTAATTCTTATTTGTCGCTGTCGTTACATTTTTCGCGTGCAAGCTGCTGTAGTATCGCATTCCCATTGTGTCACAATTTACATATTGTCCTATTGCACGACCGAGTTACTTTTCTTTACCTAATAGCTGTATTTGTACTCGTCTGATTAGGATCTTATGGTATGAATAGGTATTAACAGAATAAACCTGGGATTTGAGAAGATATGTTAGGTTGGTCAGTATTGTGTTATGTTCAACATATAATGGGCACTACAACCTATTTAATGATTATACATTATTGCGGTAGAAGAGGCTTGTTAGCAATTATGAGAAAAGGAGCAAAATATGTTTAACTTTACCAAATAAGTACAGACAAAAATTTACAGGGATAAAATCAAAAGAAAAAAAGGAACCAATTTTTATGCATATCTCTTAGCCGCTTCTGAAGATGAAATAACATCTTCAGAAACTCTCATTTACAATTAGTACAATTAATTATGCTACTATTAACGGATTCGAGACGAGACGAAGACTAGACATCATCGTACTGTGTGTTGTGGAATCATCAACAGTTAGTACTTTACTTATCAAACAAAATTAGTCAGTAACATAATGTGCTGTAATAGTTATATTTAGCAGGACACTAATATGAAGGATCTTCAATTAGGACAATTCAGGAGTGACTAATTCAACCACCCACAGTCAGCCGTAGGGTTGTCAGGAATCCTAGGTTTGTGTTACGCTTTGTTACAATTTGTGTTTAAAGAGCAATAAGCGTTTCTTGTTCATACTTCTTGTCTAAAATTACATTCCGTACCACACATGTATAAAAATTATTTGTATTTCATTGTTAATGTAGATTTACTTTGATAGCTATTAATATTTTTCAAAGAGCATGATTATGTTATAAAAATAATATTATTTACTTTTTAAGAAGCTTATTATTTATCGTGTAATATGGGTTACATTTCCCAAAAAAAATGAGTTACCTAATAAATATATCAGTGAGAAGCCGGGACTGTCAATACAATACAGTACAATAAAGGAATAATTTAAAAATATATACAAGAATGTAATTTAACAGGCATTACCTTTAGCAGTACTTACCAAACAGCGTATGTATCTGATAAGTATAATTATTAGATACATACGCAGTTTTATTGCTTACCAGTTTAATTATATACAAAATTGACAAATAATTTATAATCTAAATATTTCAAGCACACTGGTAGAAAAAAATCTTAATTTAAATCTGACAACCCTAATACTGGTCGGAGTTCGTAGTCCGCACAAAGGGCGCATCGCGAACGTGCAATAATTAAAATAATAAAGCATCGCGGGTGCCGCCGCTCATTGTGTTGATATGACAAGTGTCCGTAATAAGTGGGACCCTCGCTTTACAGCAGTGGGGTCGTTTTAACCAGCTATTTGCGATGGGGATTTTGAGACTTCTTGCACATTCTATTAAATGAACATATGATCCACAAAGGCATAAACATCAAAACAGTTATGCTTTAGAAGTATTATTTTTACAAAATTGGAATGGTTCTCCAATTGAAAATGGGCAATACTCCTATGTATATTATGACGTCCATGTATTTTATTGCTATTCCCAAGGAATGACTTATGCACCTTTTACATATGAACGCAATTTACAAAGCAAGCGGATTAGTAGTAGAGTTTAAACACAGATACCAAGACTATAGTCTTCCTATTTTAATACAATATTCTTTACATGTAAAAAAATATATGTATGATATGAATTTCATGTAACATAAGTAAATGTTACATGAAATTCATAAAAATATACAGACTCGTACAATTTTATTGTGTCGATTATATCACATTAATATTATAAGCTGAAAATAGAACTAGCGTAAGCTTCTCCAGAACGGTTATAACATCGCATTGGAGTGGGTGGTACAAAAGGTACGTATTTATTTATAGATTTAGAACATACAGACTGTTCTGATGTTATACTAAAAGATTAAACGAGTATTGTTAATAAAGAGAAATAGACTTATAAACAGCAAATAGCAAAGTACTGAGAATATAAACGGATACCAGTTTTGTACGGAAATCTCAATTTTTAAATTATAATATAGACTATGTTAATCATTGATAAAGAAAAATCATTCATTGAATGAAATATAATAATTCGTTCTTTTTAATAATTTAAGATTACAAAAACTAAATCAAAATTTTCCCTGTTATAATGTATTTATATGTATATTTATAACATATTTTTCTGTATGTGCATTATAGTTTACTAACCTCAGATGACCAATTAAACATTCTTATTTATAAATCAGATTTATAATTTGTGAATCGGAAAGAAAGAAATAAATTCTTTATAGAATAAAGTAGGTACCTATCTGTTAATCAGCAGTTCGCAAGATATTAAATTTTATTACCCCTATTATAGGGCTAATCTCCCCAACATCTATTAAAATCTTTTTCAGTAAACATTATTAATCGATATCGAGTCAAATAAGCCAAATCTGAATAACAATTTTAAACATATTAGTTTAATACAAAAAAATATTGATTATAATATTATATATAAATATTATCTGACTTAGGTTACCCCTAAACGCCGTTCAACATAAAATATAATAATGAATAATCTTTTAGTCAACCACAGTTAAAAATCTTATATTTCAACACGTAAAGCAACAGGTAAACTTCTGTCCATTTTTCTTTAGTGAATTTAGTAGTTTATTTGAATAAAGATTCTTTCTACTGTATTAGTATACGAATAATGCATATACTAGACATAAACCGGTATAAATTCAAAATTGGCATTTATGACGTAAATTTCATAAATGCAAATTAATACATTCACGTTATTATACTTTATATGCATTGTTTGTTATAGCAGTTTGCTCGTCGG